GAAGTGGAAGATGAACTGAGATCTAATAGAAGAGGAAAACAGGAAGTAGATAGCTAGAGGAGGGAAGGAGAGCAGTGCGCAGCTTGCGTACCCATAGTGTCCCGCAAGTAAATCAAAATGATAAATGAACTGAGAGCCTGTGTTTTTTTTGTTTTTTGGGGTTTTTTTTGGCAGGACCGGGGATTGAACTCAGGCCCTTGCACTTGCCAGGGAAGCGCCTATTCTACTAAGTGAGAGTTTGTATTTTAATTTCATTTACTGTTACCAAAGTATTATTATTTTTTTTTTTTTTGGCGGAACCAGGGATTGAACTCGGGTCCTTGCGCTCACCAGGCAAGTGCTTATTTTACTGAGCCATTTCCCCGGCCCCACCAGAGTATTCTTAAATATATTGTTTGTAATAAATTTTATTTTGTTTTAGTTAATTAATTAATTTTGAGACAGGGTCTCTCTAAGCAGCACAGGCTGGTCTCAAACTCATGGTAATTCTCCTGCCTCAGCCTACTGAGTGCTTGGATTACAGCTGTGTATCATCACACCCAGCTGCAGTAAATTTTGTTTACTTTTTGTTTTTTGAGATAGTCTCACTATGTAGCCCAGGCTATCCTTGAACTTGAGGCAATCCTCTTACCTCAGCCTCCCAAATGCTGGGATCACAGATGTGTGCCACCATACCTGGCTGTAGAAAAAAAATTATTTTTATTTTTATTTTTTTGTATTATAGGGAAGGGTCTACAGGGTGTTCAGGGTCTCACTGCTAGATTGAACTCATAGTGATCCACCTGTTTACAGCCTCCCAAGTGCTGGGATTAGAGGCACGCACCACCATACCCAGTCTTAATTGCTGGCTCAGTGCGCCCCAGGGGCAAGGCCAGCATAGCTGCTTGCAGGCACTTTAATCCACTGAGCTATTTGGCCAGCCCTTGTAGTAAATTTTATTTTTATTTTTTTGTTTTTGGCACTGAGAATTGAATTCAAGACCTCGTACTTGCCAGGCAGGCACTTAAGCCATTGAGCTATCTCCCTGGCCCCATAATAAATTCTAAAAAGATGATTAAGAAGCAGTTTCCTTTAGAGTTCTCCCTACTTGTCCAGAGTAGCTATCATCGCTTCTTCCTTCCCCACTGTCAAATAAATTGTCTGTTTTTGGTCTTTTTTTATTTAAGAAAAAAAAGGTGATTAAAAAGTAGAAAATAATTCTTCATAGCCCCATGCTCTAGTGATAACTAAGATTAACTCTTAGTAAATATATGTAAATCTTTTTCTTGGTGTTATATTATATATAAATGTTGTAATTTGCTTCTTACAAGAAATGTGTTGTGAATTTTCCTTGTGTTATTAAACATTTTTCATAATTTTTAAATGACTGTCATTGTGTTATGCTATAGTTTATTTAACAATCCTCAGACATTTAGAGTGTTTCAAATTTTAGATTTAATTGACATCAGTGAGATTCTGTATAGAGAAATCTGTGACTGTTCATGAATATTTTATTAGACAGATCTTCCAACGTGGAATTACTGAGCTAGATGGGATTTGTACTTATCCTAAGACTTCTTAGATTATTCTTGAATATAGTGGTACAACTAAGAAGAGAGAGTGCCAGTTTACCCAAATTCTGCCACTTTTGACTACCATGTACATTTTACCTTTGGAGTCACTACTTTTTTTTTTTAGGTTTAGGGAGGATTTTGTTTTCATTTAATATATCATGGAACTAGTTAAAAGTAAGATAAGGGCTGGTGAGATAGCTCAGTAGACTAAGCGCCAGCCTGGCAAGTGACAAGTGCAAGGTCCTAAATTTGGTCCCCGGTACCAAGAAAAAAACCATAATTTATTTTTAAAATCTTTATTTTCAGGAGAGAACTGGTTAATTGGCAAAACTGGATACAGATTTGTCTTGAAAACATCATATCCTTAAAAGTAATTTTGATGCGAAATTGGCAGGCTATAGGGCTGGCATTTAACAGAGCAGATGGGGTGTTGGCAGCTGCTGTTCATGCATTTAGACCTGCACACTTTCCATTATAGAAGAGTGTTGAAAAATCCTGTGCCCATATTTGGAGTCAGAACACAAATGTGCTGGTTGGCAGCATTACCTTGCTGCGTTATAACCTGCTTTAGTTACTTCTCTACATGAACTGCCAAAAAAATTACCCTGCATAAAGAACCCTGGGGGAAAAATAGACATGCCCTTTATCCCAAAGAGAGATCTTTGTTCCTTAGTGCTCTGGTTATAAATGATGAAAATAGTACATGCCTAGCAATAGAAAACCCTTATCTGAATCCTACAGACTAAGAATACTTTTAATATTTTCTTTTTAGGATATCAGTGCAATGGAAGAAGAAAAGGATCAGCTCATTAAGAGAGTTGAACGTTTGAAAAAAAGGGTAAGGCAAGAATTAGCACCTTTGGGCTGGCCAGATAGCTCAGCTGGCTAAAGCGTCTGCTTAGGCAGACACAGTGACCCACAACCAACATACCCAGTGGTGAGCCGTAGCGGCCCCGCCCCTGGGGCACGCTGAGACAGAGACTGGGTGCGGTGGCGCTTGCCTGTAATCCAGTGCTTGAGAGTCTGAAGACAGGAGGATCACTAGAGTCTGATCTGTGTAGTGAGATCCTGTAGACTCTGTACTAAACACATTTTTAAAAAAAGAATGAGCGCTGTAGTGAATGGCAATGCCATCCTGCACTTGCTGGATCTCATCTGATCTCAGAGGCTAAGCAGGGTCAGGCCTGGTTAGTAATTGGACAGAAGAATTAGCACTGTAGACTTTGGCCCTGCATCCAGGGACTGGCAAAGACTTAGGAATGCAAATAAAGATTAAGCCAGGCATGGGTGTCCATCTGAGGATGGACTCAAATAACATTGAGAGAAAGGGAATCTCCCTAGGCAGTAGCCCAACACCTTCCAGGACTTGAAGTCTCGATCTTCGCTGTCGTCTCTGGAGAGTACTGTTTACCACGAGGAAATGAGAAGTGGATGTCTGAGTCATGTGCTAATTTCTTTCTCTGACAGTAACATGTACTGCCTATTCCCTTGCTGTAGGTGGAGACAGTTCCGAATCACCAGCAGATGCTTAAAATAGCAAGGCAACTTCGAGTTGAAAAAGAGAGAGAAGAATCTCTTGCACAACACAAACAGGAGCAAAAGAATCAGGTATTCACATATACTTCGTATTCACGGGATGAATAAAATAGCTCATTCTGATCATTCAGATATGAAGAACAAGAATTTTAGAATTACAGAATTTCACATTTTCCTTTGTTAGCGCAATACTCTTAAAAGCGTTGTATGGCCCCAGTAGCATCCACAGCGTCTCCCTTTGGGTTCTATGCTCTGTGTGCACCTATCTATAGTCTCTCTTTGGATTATGCTTGGTTCATGTTCTTCCAGCGCTGTAACAGGAAGCAGTAAGATAAACTGCTGAGGAAACGTGTAGACTCTGTAAAGGGAGTCCTTACGTTCTGGGACTACAGGAGCATCTTTTTGTTCCATTGCTTACAGTATCATCTGATGTGCTCTGATAATACATAAGCAGTCATGAAAAGGCTCAAAATCACTCACACTGCACGTTTTTAAACTTGCTCTTATTATGTTCATGTACTAAAACTTTTATCTATTTTTATTTTTTTGCATTTTAGGGAAGGGTCTACAGGGTCTCAGTACTAGATCAGACTCGTAGTGATCTGCCTGTTTACAGCCTCCCAAGAGCTGGGATTATAGGCATGCACTACCACACCCAGTCTCAATTGCCATCTCAGCGCACGCTGGGGGTGGGGCTAGCACAGCAGGCCCCGGGATTGAACCCCTAGCCCCTGCACCTGCTTGCAGGCACTTTAATCTGCTGAGCTATTTGGCTGGCCCTAAAACTTTTATCTAGAGTCAGCCATGGTGGTGCATGGGAGGCTGAGGCAGAAAGATAACAAATTTGAGCATAGGTTGGGCAACTTAGTGAGCTTCTGCCTCAAAATCAAAATAAAAAATGAGCTGGTTATATAGCTCAGCATGAAGGCCCTAGGCTCAATCCCACGACTAAAAAGAAAAAATAAATGTGGGTAGATTTATATATAAAAGCAATATTGCAAAGTGGTTTCATTTCTTAAGAAATTGGCAGTTTATATATTGAGCTCTGTTGGAGCTTGACTTGGCATCATAATAGTTTCCTTGCAGCAGTCAGCTTGTATTTCCTAAACCTTGAGCCGTTATTTATCACCAGTTTCTGGTTCTAAAACATCATTGTGAGAATGTTAGCTTTTCTTAGGTTTAAGAAAATCATGTTACAATGAGAAAAGCCTGATGCAATATTTCTTTAACAAATATTTTTCCTCAATCAACAAATTAGCTATAGTCTGATCTAGTAGTGAG